CTTCTATCTAGCCACTTTTCTATCCAATGAGCCAACTTATCCTCCATACCTATAGAGATAATTTTTTGTTTGTTGATAGTTGTTGAATCTTGCATAAAGCCAATAGAGGGCTACCTATGCTAACCCCCTTCCCTAATTTACAAGTGACAGACTAAATGGAAGAACTAGTCAACACTACCCAATGCCAACACTTGGGATACTCTTAACAGAAAAGTGGGACTGACAGTCACATTATAATGCTCCTATGGCTGAAAGGGCAGGCATGAATAAAAAACAAAACAATTACCTGAAGTTGTTTGTCATCTTAATTGATAATGGTTTCTATCCTTCAATCAGAACTGAAAAATTTAAAAAGAATAAAATGTTTATTGCCGTCGATGGTCTTTTTCTCAATGTTTCAAATGTCTACCTAAAACAAACTTTAAAACTGACAAGAACCACAACACAGATTGGCTTCTTACATTGGTGTAAACATCATCAACTGATACCTTCTGATACAACTCAACTGGTAAATCTTCCAAATTGCATTCTTAATAACATTAAGTTTCTCCATTGCCAAAACATATTTTTGAATGCCATTCTTCATCATGTCACTGATGCCACATACAGTAAGAAATCTAAGCACATAATCCAAATTAAATCTAATCAATATATCTTACAGATGTGCCCAAACATAGTCTCAATCTATGGACATTATCATTGCTAACCAAATCAAGTTGAAAGAGTATGAAGATAGTATTACTAGACTAGAAGACATGTTTAAAAGACTAGCACGCATGACTGAGTGTTTGTAAGTAATTCCAATGACCATGATTTTAAAAAGAGCTTTATAATTCTCGGTAATCTAAAACTTTCCAAAGACTGCATTTCTATCCTCTCCAAAGGTCCTAATTTTGCCATTTCGGGTCAACCCACTGGGAAGGTAACTCTTCTTACTCATTCATACTTTCATCAATGCTTCTACAAATTATGATTTCACAAAAAATACTTAATCTTTCTTCTGTACCTTTTGATTTTTATAAATCCATATCTCCCAGAGCATGCCCTACTATGGAAAAGAATATTGAGAACCTTAAAAATGGTGTTTTTAAGAATTAAAACCTTTAAGAATTATCATCTAAAAACCAATATTTCAAGAAACTAGCAGTTAGCTATCATTGAGTTAAAAAATGAATGACCACATAATTGTGAAGGTGAGAGACAAGTGCAAAAGCTTTGTTTTAATGAATACATCGACTTATGAAGAAAAGATTAAGGTACATCTGGAGGATACATCTAGTTACAAACCACTTAACAAAAACCCTACATAAGAATTGGAAAAAACATGCAACTTTTAGATAATCTTGGACCATCTCATTCAGAGCCCCTTTAACTGTATGGATTATGTAAAGATCATAAAGACCCACAGTCTCCATATGCAACTCTACATTAGAATCTGTAATTTGGCTACTCAAAAAGCTACTTATCCTCTCCTGAACAAAACCCTTCACACAACAGCACCAATGACTTTCTCAACAGGTTACATGAAGATGGTTTGCAGATTAATTTGAACACAATCCTATTTACTCTTGATGTCAATTCTATGTAGCCTTCCATTCCCATAGAAGAAAGTATAAGCTTGGTTATGAATCTTGTTTGATTGACTCCACCGTCTACTATCAATGATGCCCTTATAAAATTCATTGAAAATTCTCTCAGATTTCTTCTCAACAACAGTCACCTTAAATTCAATTCAAACCAAAGGAATCACTATGGGCAACAATATTGCTGTCATTTTGGTCTCTATTTTATGCATTTCTTTGAATAATCAGCTCTTACTCAGTGGAATTTTGAAACTAGGTGGTACAGATAACAAAAAAGATTATGACAATTATGATATGCAACATTGTTTATTAACAAAAAGGGGACATAGATAAATGTTTCAGAATTCTATCAGATTCCATCTTCAGTATCTAAAGCTAAATAAAATGAATTTACATGTCTTTGGACATTTCTAAAGTACAAATGCTAAATTTAACGATAATTAAACAAATATAACACAAAACAGTAATCATGAGGAGAAACTACAGCAAGAAAACACAACAACAAAAAAGTAAAATCAGTAATATGAACATATTAAAAAAATGTATAATTTAAATGAAGACTGCATGTTGTTCAGTGTTGGAGAGTGCTGTTTGATGTGGAGGGTTTCTTTAATCAATAATTCCAGATCAGTATTAGGCTTGCAGAGGATAGAAAAATTTGATAGCATAGGTCGATGTCCTGTTTCTTCACTATGTTGGCATATAGAAAAAACACAGGGGTTAATCAATTTTTTTTGCATTTTGATGAAAATTCCCATATGTTCATAGGCTCCGACTTTTAAATGATGTTTGGTTTTGCCAATATAGGAGGCCTTACAGTCTCCACACGTGTAAAGATAGACAAG